AATCTAGCTCCACAATATAGTTGTTCGAAACGTCCGGGCACCAGATTTTAGTGCTCGATATTATGACATACGGTTCGGTTGCATTTCATCCGCTTAATCAATGCTAATATCCGGCAACTGGCTTATTTCCAGATTCAGGATGTTTTGCTCGTAGGTGGTTACGCGTACTTCTATGAACATGATATGGCGATGACGAAATGGTCGAGAAACTGTCGAGTGGTTAGGCTTGAAGCAACCGGCTTTACCTATTCATTTTCAGTGACTGTGACCAGTGTAGACTTTGCTATCGGATGGAGACACGGCCAGCGTTCAAGAAAAAACCCATTAACGACTTCGATCTTCGGAGATCTTCGTCGATTTGTCGCAGTTCGCCTGTCCACCCCGCGCCATGTTGTCCTCCGGTGAACCTGCTCGCCATCAGAACCAATGAGTTTTATGTAAATGTAATACGTGGTCTTTAGCCCGCAGCAGTTCGATTGAAATGACAGCGGAAAAGAGTGGAAAATGTGTCGATTTCGTTCCAGCGACGAACGACACATCGCTGGTCGCAAGGGACAGGGGACAAGACGGAACGGATGCAGCGGAGATGGGCATGGGCAAATAGCGCCGTTGCTCTCTAGCCAGCACGGCAACTGTGGAAGCCAGTCGTGAACCACAAAAGGATCGACCAACGACGCTCTGTTAAATTATTACAAATTCATGATTGGTGGTTGAGAAGCGACTGTCAATCTTCAAAAGACCAACAAGTGACTTGTGCTATGTGGAAGCCATTGGCGGGCTCTGTGGTTCACAAACGAGCACTGGCTCATATTGAAGAAGTGTGGCTGCTCATCGCGATGTCCGTCTCACTTCCTCAAACGAGACAGAGTATAAGCGGATGAAAAACTTATTTTTTTCTGAGCGGAAAACCAATCAGAAGAAATATGAACAGTAATTATTGAACCAGGGTGCCTGCCCGTGGCTCGTCAATGCGGTGGCCCCAGGACTTCCCTCTGGTTGGCGCAATTGTACCCCGTCGACTACCCGTGCATGATGATGGGTAAATGTGACAGACGGAGGTGAAGTGTCGAATCAACTATGTCCACCATCAGCGTCAAAATACAGCCTTAAAGCCGACAAGCAACGGACTGGCCTCATATTCTGAAGTCTGACAGGTCACTACGTCGTCAGCCGTCGACTATGATCGGATGTTTACGCGGTGGCAGATCTGACGAGGAATTAACGATGAGTGCCTGCGCATCAGGCGGCGCTGAAAGACGATATCGACGACGACGATTAAGCATGCAGGACAGAGCCGAGTCAACATGAGCCAATTTTCGATTCAGTATTCAGTATAAATTCAGTATTTTCAATCGGTGCCATTGCCTACCGCGCGACGACTAACAGCATTAATTAGCGCATGATTCACAGCTGTGAATTTGCGCATGATTCAGAACATCGAACATCGAGTTCAGCGTTACAGCAACGATGAAGAATAATGAGAATAAACTTGAGCAACAACGACGCTTCACGTTGCACATCCAGCTGGCACATTTCTCAAAGCTCCGTTTGGTAGCTTCTTCTAGAATCTAGCATATTCAACATTACATTTGAAACTGTTCTCAATTCTGGGTCACGAAACGAACGAATGTTCAGCTTGTTGATTCCCAGTTCAAAACCAGTGAAAACCGTTGCATTTACAGCAGCATGCACTTTTTACCGATTACTGATCAGTCAGTAGGAGATAAAAGCGAATTCAACCGTAAAACGCATGCATGGAGTG